TACGAGGTAATTCCATGCTCCACTATACTTTCAATCTCCCCATCAGAGGCCTTGCTGCCAGATTTTTCTTAAGAACTGTCATGGCAATTCACAAAGGAAGCTGTGGAGAGTCATAATAGCCTACATTAAAAAGGTACATAGTATTAAACAAATACTAAAATCATTGATGCAGGGCAATAAAATTGAAAGAATCTTCAGGATAAATGAATATGGATATCTTTGTACACCAAAGAAAGCATTGAAAAAAAAAAATTTGTATAAAATGTCGGGAATCATTTTTGTTACAAGCATTGCTGTGGCTGTGCCGGTCCAATCAATATGGAGTTGCACATGTTATATATTCACCATATTTCTTTATCTACTTATTATCTATTTTCTAGTTTGCACAGAGATAAAAAAAAAAGTTTCCCTCATCTAAAGTTGGCCATATAATGGATTAGCTGAAAGGTTGTAAAAGCAACAAAAGAATGAGTCATCTGAACAACTTTTGAAACAACCTTTGTAATGTCTTTACTTTCTTCCATCCGAAGTTACCTCCCTTGGTCTCTTACACTTTGGTCATCCCACGTATTTATGAAGGTAAATACAAGTAAAATATGATCCAAAGTTGTAATATTGCAAACATGAAGGTGTAAACTCAAATGTTACAATCCAAAATCATGGGATTGAGAGATCTAATACAAGATGAGAAATAATTATTTAGTAAAACGAAAGATTAGTTTTCAAATAAGGATTAAGTACCATGGTGTTTGATACTTCTAATATATTAACAGCCATTAAACAACAAATTTATTTTCTCAACTCACTGTTAGGAGAGTTCTAATAACTCTGTATTATAGTTCTATTCATTTAACCATACTCTCAAGGAATTTTTTATAATGAAGATACTTAAAAAAAATTATTGTTGAGTTGCCAAAGAATTAGCTGCAGACATCAAGAAATGAAGTAACCTAGTACTTTATGTATACTAAGAAATCAAATCTCTTGTACCTATGTTCGATTTTCAAATAGACAGGATGTAGTTGAAGAGGAAGGAAAGAGCAAAAAAAAAAAAAATGAAATGAAGAATTTTCCAGAGAAAGGAAACAGAACACTGTTAGATTAAATACAAACAGAAGGAGGCAATATGAATTGTGGGTAGCATAAAGAAAATGGAAACAGGAGAGAAGTACCTTTTTTATGTTCTGTTGCATTGAAAAGACTAATTTTTAGACAGCTTATGAAACAGATTAAAGGCAAGTAGGAATGCAGAAAAAGGTTACAATGACTAGTCAGACAATTTGACAGATTTAGTAAAAAAACTGGATGAAGATACATTACTTCCATGTTCTGGACAAGGGTAATAGCATCAAGATTGATTCTTTGATTTTCGAACAGAGACTACACAGGACAGAATGATGTATAACAAGTTTGCAAAGTCTAACTCTCCATGTACACAAACATGCAGTCTCCTCACAAAAAACCTAGGCAGGAAAAGTCAGTTGCTTTTGGCAGTTTGTTGGACCCTTATCATGTTTTCTACTAGTGGAGCATGGAATTAGATTAGCATATTTTTCTATGCAATCCATTCCACTTAGTGAAACTTGAACATGATTGGCTAGCAGAAGCTCATTTACACAAGCTCTTTGACCTCGTTCAGTGGTGAAGCAAATTTTCTTTGTCACTATCTTCCTCTGTACAAATGATTATACTCTTTTTGGAGCAAAATTCACCTGGGACATGCAAATACTCTTGCTGTAATATATCAATTATATCTGTGCAGTGAAAGAGTGCAGTATAAGTGAGTGTTATGCCACAGACATGTACAAGTGCTCCTTTTTATTCAATTAAAACTTCAAGGGAAAAAAAAAACATTCATCTGGGACATCCTTATTCCAGCTACCCGTTTTCTGAAAATTCCCTGCCACCCTTAATTTAGGCAGTGACTATTCTCAGAAAAATTGTTTCATTTGAATATTTAACAAAAGAGGTGGTCAGAATAAGGATGTCCTGGGAAGATTTTTCTCCCCCAAAAAGTATATTTGAAACTTATAGCTTGTAGCACATACTATTGCACCATCTGTGTCTTCCCTTTAAAAAGTTTCACATGTTGCAATAATGTTCAGTGCAGCAAAAGAGGTCAGTCCAAGTAAGTGTTATATCAGAGAGATGTACATGTGCTCCTTGTGTTCAATTAAAGCTTTTTTGATAGAGCTCAGATTATAGATGTTCAAGAGGCTGGATAGTCAATTAAAGAACTGATACAACAATTTTAGCAACAGAGGTCAAATAAATACTCCTATAGCCATAAATTTGGACAACAATATAACATAGATGCTCAAAAAGAAAGCTATATTGTGTTGTGGCCTTGTTAGGGCCAGAAATAAAGACCCAAAGAGAGGAATTGAGTTAAACAAATATATTAACAGAAACAGTAATACAAACATATACAAACGAGAGTGTTACAGCAAGAATGTTCGGTCTGACTGTCAGAGCTGACTGCTGGAAACTTCCCTCTTCAAAAGCATTACCTGCTCCTATTTATGGCTGGGAGAGTTCATGTGTGCGTGGATAAATTACCATAACACATTGTATAAATGTAAAGACAGCAAAAGCAGATGGTATGATGTCCACAGCACAGATCAGAGCAAATGTGGCCCCAAGAGAGTCAACAAAAGCCACTGTGAATTATTTACTTGCAGAAAGAAAACAGGCACATGTTCTTCTAACCAGACTTCTACTTACACCACAAAAGTATAGTGTGTTTCACCAATGGTGTCATGAGAGGGTTCCCTGAAGGATCAAATTCAACTCTCTAGTGAATCAGTGATGAGAACAGGTTTTTAATTCATGCAAATATCAGTCCTTTGCATGTGCAACATTGTCTTGGATTGTGATATATTCCAAAGAGTATTCACCCAGAACATGCAGGCATAACACCTGACATCATGATGTGGATGGAACAGTGAATATCACATCCAGAACACAGTTCAGCCTGTTCTGCTGACATTTCTGCAACAGGTAGGCAGGGTTCATTTTCAGTAGGATAATAATCACCCACATGTTGCCCATGTTATTCGACAACTTACCAAGCCAGTGTAAGTACCAGACCTGATTTCCATCAAATATGGATAGCATGTAACTCTTTCAATAAGCATTGTAACCAAGGACAATAATAAGTATGTCTCCATTCCCATAAAATACAGTAGTGAATACTGTACATGGTCTAGAGTCAGAGATTCATTGTGGAATTCACTTGACTCACTTCTAGCAATTGACTACTTCTTATACACACTGCTGGCAAATCTTATATGTGTTGTTCTTGTCCTAAGTATTATCATTCATTACCAACCTTTTTTTGATTATTCTATTCAGTAACATTCCCTAGGTTACAATAATAAGCCCACCAACAACTCTTGCTGTACTATACCAACCATTTTTACTTTTTAGTCATGTTCACCCAATACAAGGTTCAAGAGCCACTCAAAGTAGAAGGTAACTGACTGAGGTGTGTGATATGAATGTAAGAGGGGATAAAAACAAGTGCAGATTATGAGTATAAGAAGGATTGATAACAACTGACCCTGAATTTAAAGAAATTAAGAATGTGCTGTTCAGGAACCATCCATGTAGAAGTGTTTGTTTTGTTTTATGGAATATCAACCTCAATGGGTCATTTAATGCCAACAACTTTTTTTTTTTTTTCTGGTAATATTTTTGTTTTGTCAAATCTAATTTTCCTCAAAAATGTATAGCTGGTAATATTATTTTTCCAAAAACGTATAGCTGGTAATATTTTTTTTTTCTTCAAAAATTTATTTCTGGTAATAATTTTTTACAAAGAATTTCTGGTATTAAAACCTATTTTTACACTTTTATAATGCCTTTTACCTCAGTTTCTGGGTTAACTATTTGCCCATAGCTGGGACCCTAACAGGTGGACCTGGGAACAGCAGCAATTAAGAGGTGGTTCCATGCTCCTGAAGACCTCCTGATCAGAGGCCTTGCTGTTGGATGTACTTTATTGTCTTACTCTAGATGTGGATGTAGTTTATCGTCATACCCAGGAAGATCATGTAGAAGTGAGAGGGCCCAATACAAGTGAGTGTTGTGCCACAGAGGTGTACAAGTGCTCTTTTTTCTTCAATTACAATATTGGGGAACAGTTAGAAAATTAATAAAAAATAGTATTTAAAGGTTTAAGCACCATACTTTTATTTCAACCACTCTGTCTATTGAAACTCAAGTTTTAAATGTAACTACTTTTACCCGAGATAGAGCATCAAAGACTGTGGCAGTAGTCATTATTAAGAGATAAACGTTTGGAATTGAAGATGTAAATATAGAATTTTTGACATCATATCAAGACTCAAGAACAAAGTGCAAATATACAACATGATTATTAGCCAATAAAAATCTAGATCACTTATATCACTTAGATAAATGCTAACTTATATAGATTTTATTTTTCTTTGATGGCTTTTCTGAGTTTTAGTTATCATTCAAAATTACATTCAACCAAATCTTTAATGTTGATATTGTAAGATACCAAAGATTGTGGACACAATCTGTGAGAGGTGAGTGCAGTTTTGTGGCCATTGCTGGAGAAGTTAGCAAGATGTGCATCAGCTTATGAGATTCAAATGATGAGGAAAATGATCAAGAGAAAGACAATCAAGAACTTTTATCGATAAGTTCAGAGATCATGCATGAATCAGGGTAGAGTTATGGATGTCAGAAATGGTTGGAAAGAAGTGGACAGACATGTTCATTAGAGAATAACCAGATAGATAAACAGGTAGATATTAAAGAGAAACAAAAGCGGTGAAGACATGAAAATGAAAAGACCCTCATTTTAGCCTTTTTCATTTGGAAAAGAATAAAAATTTTGGTAATTTTTAAATTCTCACAAAATAACAAAAACAAAATGAATAACTTATGGGTATTTAAATAAGATAAACAAAACATACTATTTGAAGTTAGTGCTAGCCATAAAAGAATCACAAAACATTTCATCATACCTAGGTAGGAACTTGAGCTGAGCCTGAAATTGTGATCTGGCTTGGATGTAACCAATGTTGGGAAGAATCTCAAGATGGTTCCTCATCTCTTTGGCCATTTCAAATCTGATCTTTAAGGCACTGGTTTCTCTGCAGGAAAACAAAAAAAAGTCAGTTCAATTAACAACATGAGCATTCTAACATTTATGATATCTCTGCTGATAAAACATAGGGTGATCAGTTAAATAAATAGAAAGCAATGGTGACCTTTCTTCAGAGCCCTAAATTAAATCAGGACTGATGTTATTTTCCCTCCTCCCCCCAAAAAAGTGTAGCCCTAACACCTGAACCAGTTGAAAGCATCGTCTAATACAGTGTTTCTATTTTTTTTTTTTTTTAATAAAATGAATGGATATTACAGAAAACAACTGTGTACAAAGTGTGGAGAATTCCGTTATGATTAAACTAAAATTTAATGTTGAACTTTTCAGAGAATTCCATAATATTTTAACAGTGAATAATTTATCTTTCTAAAATATTAAAATTTATCACTGTACTAATAGATGTCAAGGGAAGGACATTTATTTAATTTTAAAGTAAATTTTCTGACCCCATCAAATTTATTAATACCATCTTGTTTATTAATTTTGCATTTTTTAACCATTTAAATTATTTCTTGACTCCCCTTCTAATATAATAAACTCACTCATTTTTTACAGAAAAATTCCAAGCCCCCTCCAAATTATTACAACCCAGGTGTATTTGGCACCAAAGAGCATGCAAATACTATGAACTATTAGAAGATTTATGAATTCTATAAGTCTTCTGAAATATTTCCACCTGAATTTTTTTCTTACAAGCATTGAGCAAATTCCATTGATAATGCCCAAGTATTGATAGTTACACAAAAAGCAATTCAAATTTCCTCTGGCATTCTCAAATTATTCATTTTTAAACCTTTTTATCAAATGATAAGGGGATATAGTTGAGCATTTAAGGATCTGTTATGAAATTATAACTGGTTTCATCTTGGAACTAACTGCAAGCCAATTTAATCCATATTTGGTTCACTATTAATGTGACCTGAGGTGCACTGGGATAGTGAAAGATACCTTCCAAAGTATAAAAAAAATTAAAATTTTTATTAGAAACAAAGAAAAGAGTACTGATTTGTTATGTAATATCAGGCTTCATCTCTGGCAGTGAATGCTGGACAACCTCCTCACAGTTGAAGAAGAAACCTGGAGCAGCAGAAATTTGACTCTACAGAAGGTTGCTGAGAATACCATGTGCCAAACAAGTGAGCAACAACATTTTAGATAAAATGGAAACAAAAAAATGCTTATACTTAAAATCACAAAGAGATACTTGAAATTTCTAGAGGAGAGAGGAGCTTGGAAAATTTGATACCCACAAGGACAGAATGAATGCAAGTGGGAGAGAGGAAAACAACACACAACCTACCTAATTTGAGTTTGAGTAAATGGACGGTGGAACAAGTTTTATGATATAAAAAAAGACAAAATTTATTAAGACCTACAAAGAACAGGAAATTGTGGAGAACCATGATCACCTACATCATGAAGAGATATGGTACATTGAAGAAGATATCTGAATTCGTTCTGAAAAACAAGAAACCTTACTTGAAAAGTATCAACTTTAACCTGCGTACTTGTCTATCTGAAAGCCAAATCAATATAAGCATGTATATATCCCATATTGTATTTTAGGGTGAGTTAAAGTCCTCTGCAATAATAAAAGTTCTTGTCAGTAATAATTATCCTTGATTCAATTCACTGGAATAAATAACCTGTATTGCCACAGAATGAAAAAAAAAATATTGCCTTCAGCAAAACAGCACCATAGCTTTTAGAATGCCTCTTTCACGAGTTCATTGTATGTTACAGGTTCCTTGTTATATGCTGATGACCAATACATGAACCAAACATCCTGAATGTATTGACAAAGATAAATATTCCAGTAATGAATAATATTTGTTGACCATTGCTTGAATGCAATAAAAAAAACAGATTCATAGGACATTATACAACAAGATTTCAAAGAAACAAGTTCATGTGATTAGATACAGTAAATATAACTTTATTTCTCAAAAAAAGAAAAGAAAAAATTAAATTTGCTTTAGTCTATGATGAAGCCAGAAAGATTCTTTTGAAAAGTAGAAAAACAAGAATTATTGGAATTGCAAATAGGAAGAAAAAGTCTTCATGCATCCAAATGGATTATAACAATCAGAACAATTTCTTTTCTTTGAGTAGACAAACACAATTCTTTAATATTAAGAAATGGAATTCTTGTTTATTTCCTTAGGTTTTGCTTTCACTGTCTGCTAAGGAAGTGACATTTCTTTCAAGTCTTTTGTCTTTTTGAAAATAAAATCATGTTATTAGCTGCAAGAATCAGTTGGTATGTGCTTGTATTTGAAAAGTGATCCATTCCTCATCAACAACAACTGTCCGTGACAATGTAGCTGCTTTGGACTTTTAGCCATGTCAGACAGCTATAAAGCATCCAGACAGATATCTTTCAGGATATCTCCAAAAATTCCATCTGGAATTCTTTTCTGGGGACTGTTTTTAACATATTTTCAGGCTTAAAAGATAAAACAGAACTACTGAGATAAACTTAAAAAACAGGGAAGAATTTTGTTTGTGGTGGGGCTAACAATTTGTTGATTAACATTCATTAAATCTTTTTCCAATCTTTTTCTAAAAGTATTGCTTTTTTTATCATTTCAAAAGTGGTTGGGCCCTGTTCATAATATAAATAGTGTCAAATTGATCCCTGATTTCTTAAATTTTTATCTGTACATTGTTTTTATTTACAAATGTCAATTATGAAACTATGCTTATGTCATAGATAACTGTATACTCTATTACATATTTGGAAAAAGGAGAACAGCAGTTGTAGCAGTGGTGAGATGGTCGGCTTAATTCAGTTCAATCTGCATAACTTCTTCCCAAAGTGAAACAAATCTTACTTATTATAAAACGCAGATTGTGTGTGTGTGTGTGTGTGTGTGTGTGTCTGTACATTTATATATTGGATTGGATTTCCTACATTTTTCAACCAATTTCAACAAAACTTCACAGGACTATGTAAAATTACCTTGCGGTGGTTCTGACAGCGCCAAAAATTGGAAAAACACAATTGTTTTTGCACAAAATAAATTTGAAAACATGATTAAGAGTCATTGCGAGAATGAAAGGGGGACAACTCATATCGAGTTATACTTATTATAAAACCCAGGTTGTTTGTGTGTGTGTTCATTTATATATGGGTTCGGATTTCCTACATTTTTCAACCGATTTCAACAAAACTTCACTTTTTTTTTGGCAGGTAGTGTTTCTTATTGTCTTGCACACTTTTTTTCTTTATTTTTTATATTCAGAATGCTTTAAAATTCCATTTACAAGACAATTGTTTATAATAAAATTCTATTCAATCGGTAGACTCATAACAATTGAAAACATGTTTTTGTTTGAGTTTGGGTTTGACCAATTTGTAAAAAAAAAAAAAAAAATTAAAATAAAACTAATTAAGACATGCAATAATCTTAAACAATAATCTTTGTCAATTTTATTTTTTAGTCTTTATGATGGTCAATACTTGATTTATCTCTTACTGTTACATCCCCGGGCAATGCCGGGCTCTACTGCTAGTAAAATATATAATTAAGAAATGTCTAGTTTACAATATTTTATAATCAACAAAATGATTGTTATTGTTGAAGGCTGAAGATAGGATCTGCTGAAATGCTCTTATGACATGATTAAGAACATAGTTAGAAATAAGTAGTCCAAAGAAAGAACCAAAATTAACAAATTCCACTCCACTCTAACTTATTTGCTATGTTTATAAGAGAACTTACATTTTATTTTAAGTTCACCTTTATATTTTTTTATATTAATTACCTGCTGCAACAAAACATGGGAGAAATATAATCTCATTTATTAAACTTGTCTTTTCGGCCTGTAAGAAAATGCTTCATAAATTTGTTCTCAAAATTTTCAAAACTTACCTATTGAATAAAATAACTGTCTCTTGGTAGAGCCTGTCGTACATGCAGATCTTCAGGTCCAATGATGGTTTTTTAACCCAAACTGGAACATCAGTGGCATGACCAATAGCTTTCACGTTTATCTACAGAGAAAAAGAAAAGTTAGATTAGTTCTACAGAAATGGAAAATACAGCATTTACAAAAATTATTCCAAATTTATCTACAGATTGGCTAATTATGGATGCCTACTTTGTTCACATACTAATAACATTACCAGTCACTTTGAACTGAGTGCTTCACTATTATGACTTTGGACCAGATTAAGTTTAGGTGAGACCTTAATTGAAGTCCTTTCTCTGTTTAGACTGTAGTCTGGTGACCAAAGATCTGTCAACTAGACATCACTTTTCCATTGCCCTAGGAGTACAGGATTATCCCTTGTTTACTCTTTCGGACTGGGTTTCCAGTTCCTTCTCAAGTCTACTTCAACTCTATACTTCTAGCATCTCCACATATGACGTTGAACTTTTCTTTACCAGTGAATTATTTTTTTTCTTTTCTGAATAAGAGTAGATATGTTCATCTATCGTCCGGTTCACACAGCCACTTGGTCTTTTGAACAGGAGTCAAGGTTTATCCTTTGTTTCTTAGGATTGTGTTTCAAGCCCCTCCTAAAATCTACTTCATCTCTATACTTCTAATGTCTCTACTTAAAACTAAAATTTGAATTAACCATTGAATTCTTTTTTCTTTTCTCAATAGGAGTAAGTAGGTTTGCCTATCATCTAGTTCACATTCCTCCTCAGTCTTTTGAACAGAGTAGAGATTTTCCCATGTTTAGAATAGTGTTTCCAGTTCCTTCTAAAGATTTTTCATTATGCAACCCTCTGAGTGGCTCTTGGGTGTTGTACAGGGTGGATATCATTGTTTAAAAAAAAAAAGAAGAAAAAAAATGGTAGATAATACTCTGAAACCTGGAGTAAAAACTAAGGAAAATTTCTTTCTTGAATTTCTGATATGTAGAATTCTCATTATTTACAAGTTAACAGCCGAGAAGATGAAGAAATTGGTTCGTGAATTTGATGGCATAGTAATTATGAGTTCACTCCTTGGGCAAGGTAGTAGATATGTTGTTGTTCTTGAAAGAACAACAACATATCCCAAGACATGGACAGTGGATCAAGAACAATCAACCTCATAAATAAAGGGTTCAGTTTGAAAATCTATGAAAGTTACCTGGATTGACAAACACATGAATAAAGCTAGAGAGCACAATGGCCAGAGTGATGTGATGTAACAATGAACATGAAGATATTAATTTAAAAAAATTAAAAAAAATGAGTAATCTATGCTGAGTAAAGCCTAATACAGGGGGAGGGGCATGACCAAGAACTGTCTGTCCGTTTGGTTTATCATCATATTAAGTCTGCCTGTATTATATCCCTTTCAGTTTTAGCAAACAATGTAAATCTGAAAAGGAATGCTGCAAGGACATTAAAAAGCCTTAATTAGAAGCAAGACAAGGAAATCAGGCATGGCTGATCATGTATGGTTGAAAAAGGGTAGTCAATAGAGATCCAAATATCAGAAAGAATTTGCTAGGCTATAAAGACCTTCTTAGCAGGCCTAGTATAGAAATAAATATAATATGGGAGCTGTTAACAAATAGAAATGAGAGCAAGTCTTCAGCAGTTACAAAAGCAGCAGTAAGAAAAAGAGATGCCATGTTGAATGCAGTCAAATGTGAGAAGCAGTTGCTTGTAGAGTAGACTAAAAATTCTAAACTCATAATTCTCCCACAGCCAAATAGCCTAGTGATTTATGAACAGAATAATTGTGAGTTCAATCCCTGGTCAGAGTAGTGCAATCTTAAGCACAATGGAAGCAAGGCAAATGAAGGAACAATTTGATTTGAAATTCCTTGAAGGTTAAGTGAAAGCAAGAGGTCACATTAGCTGAAATCTTAAGATAACAACAACAAAGATGAGGACAATAAATGTAAATAACATAAATAAAACGTAAGGGTATCAAATATGTTTTAGTAACTAGTTCAGTTATTTTCCTTTAGTAATTCAACTCTTCAAGTTTTTGTTCACCTCTGCTGTGGCCAAGTATTGAACTCACAACTCTTTGGGTCAAGTCAGTGGATTACTTCAACCAACAGTTTTATCCACTGGGCCATATATCCTTGAGTTCTGAGTTCAATACTTTCGGAGAATTGAGTTACTCAAGGGAAATAACTGAAACTGAGATATCAAGAAAAGGCATGGCAAGTGGAACTAGAACAATCTATCCCCATGGACTAAATAAAGTGTTCAGTTTGAAATTCAAACAAATGTCAACTGAAGAAGGCTGGAGTATACACAACACCCAAAACTTTGTGAATATGACAATAAAGATGAAGACAATAGTCTAAACAATGTAAATAGTGTAAATAGTTACAATACTTAATCTCAGACATATACACATATATTTTGCATTTGTGGGTTGGCAAAATAAATCGTTTGAAATGACAATTATTTTGCATAAACAAGTACATTAAAAGAGAATTTATTTAAATTACCTTCAAAGAGAGAAATTACGAGAAAATTATCTACATAGAATTTATTTTCCAGTTCTCTGCAATTGCAAAGGGAAATTGTTGATATAACCTCTAAAAACTTGTTATTAAATAGTAATTTAAGTTGATTTAATTTAGTCCATCAAATAAATGGAGTCATTAAGTATACAAGAAAACTTTTCGCAGAGAAAAACAAAGGACAATTGACACAAAATAACAGAAAGGATAAAATAATTTAAGAAGAATAAATTTCTTGTCATTTTGAGATGAGAAACAGAATTGAAAATGAACAGAGGAAAACCTTAAGCAACAAATAAAAAAATCTTAGCTTTCACTGATACAAAGATCTATTTAATCAAATGCTTTTACAATTCTTCCGTGTTAAGTTTTTTAATTATCTGAAAACTGTTGTCTGTAAAATAAAAAACAAAATATTACTCATATTTTTTTTCAATTATTATAAATTTATAGATTGTTATTTGCATTTTTTTTCATTTGTATAGGTTTAATTTTTTTTTATTTGCCAAAATAATTGTCAATTATAAAAAGAAAATCACAAATCAATTATCAGAAAAAATATTCTCATTTAACATCAACAAGAAGTGAGATTTATTCAAACATCTCCATGGATGGAATGTGGCACAAGGCCAAGTTTAAATTGGGGGTCACAGACACATACAGGGGTACCAGAGACCAAAAGTATTTCAGCCATCCTTCTTTTCTTTAGGAGATACTTTAAGCACAAAGTAATTATACAACCCCTTATACAACAAATCGGTATTGCCTGGAGAGGCAAGTTCACTAGGAGTGAAATTAAATATTTCATTTAGTGCCACAGGGACAAAAGGCTGAGAACAGTCAATAAGACCAAAGTTTATTTCATAGCAAAAATATGAAGCCTATTTTATTTCACTTTGTCTTGTATTTATGTTAATAAAAACTAATGAAAGAAGACATGAATTCATGCAATTATCTTTGCATGAACAAATAAATAGGCACAAATCATTTAGAGGAAATAAAGAAATACTGTACAATGAGGAGAGGAAAAGTGAAGTTCATTTCAGCTGTCCTATGGCTGAAAAAGTAAAGCTCATTTGTATGTCCTATGGTTGAAAAAGAGAAGCTTATTTTGTTTGGCCTTCAGCTGAAAATGGAAACATTTCATTTGCTTTATGGCAAAAAAGTGAAGCCCATTTTGTCTATCCTATGGCTGAAAATTAGAAGCCCATGTAAGCTGCCCTATGACTGAAAAAGTAAAGCACATTTCAACTGTCTTATGATTGAAAAAGAAAAACTCATTTAGGTTGCCCTATGGGTGAAAAAGAGAAGCTCATTTCAGCTGTCCCATGGCTGAAAAAGTAATGCTCATTTTGTATGTCCTGTGGCTGAAAAAGAGAAGCTTATTTTGTTTGGCCTTTTGCTGAAAATTTGATTTGCTTTATGGCAGAAAAAGTGAAGCTCATTTTGTCTGTCCTATCACTGAAAGAGTAAAGCTCACTTCATCTGCTTTATGGCTGAAAAATTTAAGCTCCTTTCATCTGCCCTATGGCTGAAAAAGTTAAGCATCTTTCATCTGCCCTACGGCTGAAAAAGTTAAGCATCTTTCATCTGCCCTATGGCTGAAAAAGTTAAGCATCTTTCATCTACCCTATGGTTGAAAAAGTTAAGCATATTTTATCTGCCCTATGGCTGAAAAAGTTAAGCTCCTTTCATCTGCCCTGCCGTTGAGGAAGTTGTGTCTTATGATATTTACTGGTCATTTACATTCATCACTTGCTCACCTTGTGATTGAAATATGCATTTCCAAAAGATTAATCTTTTGATCCAAGATAAAAAAAAACAAGATTTAAAACTGATATTCATGGTTATTAGTCCTCCTCAAGTGTTGTAGCATACCTAAGGACAATAATGGATATGTCCCCATTCACATAAATACAGTAGTAAATACTGTATGTTGGTCTGTTGGAGATTCATTGTGGAATTCACTTGACACACTTCTAGCAGTTAACTACTACTTCTACATGCTGTGAGTAAATCTTATATGTGTTGTTCTTGTCCTAAGTATTATCACTCATTATCAACCTTCATTTGATTATTCTATTCAGTAACCTTCCCTAGGTTACAACAGTAAGAATGGAATTACACAATATTCCTACCCTCATTTCTCTTCCATTTGGCATTGTTACACTAAGCTAAGATTATCCGATCTCTATACTTACCTACCAACAGTTATCTCTTATAAATATATAAAGAAATTGATTTTTTAAGGTTTACTTAATTCCTTACTGCAATTTCATCTGCTTCATGTTTGGAATCATCAAACGTCAACGTTAAAAAAAAAAAGGATTATTTCAAACTCTGATTTTCATGACAGAGAAGACATCCCTACTTACAAGAGTGGTAAGATTGTATAGTGCCATATGAAGTTGGGATTTGTAAATATTTAGTGAAAATATTAATATTTAAGGCTTTTTATTTGCATTGTTCTTTGTTATATTTTTGTA